CAAGTTTTTCATTTACATTGATGTTATAATGACAAAGGCAGGGAGGAAGGATGTGGACACTGTTTGTGACCTTTCTGATGCTCTAGGAGTCCATTCCCTGAGGTGCTCTGCCACTCCCACTCTACACATGGGTGGTGCTTTACTGTATGATAAAGACAATGTCATATAAAACCTATTTTAATGTTGTCTTCTGCTGGCTCCAGACTGAAACATTAGATGGACAATATTGATTTTACCTGGAAGGAGCAGCTGACAGATGAGGTCTCTTGTTCGCTATGACTTCCTGGAGTATGTGATTCTTGTACACACAAGCTTACAGGGCACACAGTACACAGACACAGACTTTGTGATTTCTGGGTCTTTGCTATGGTCCAATCATTAGTTTCCATTCACTTTTCAGCTGTGCAATCAATCACAGTGAATATCAAGTCTGCACTGATTTTTGCCAGTGTCTAATTATCATTGCATGGTGATGCAGTTTAAGCACAGACTGGGATATTGACTAAAAATGAAGAGAGCCATGTGGTCCTTCATGCTGTAAAACCAAAAGCAGCAATGATTAATTTTTTGGCCACTCGTTGAGTGAAACGTGCTGTTGACAACACTGATCTTTTTATTATTAAGTTGATATGGCGACTGCATTGGAAATAATTGACATTTTGGTTTGTTGTACCCAGAAAATCACAGGAGAAATTGTTAATGTTAAAAGCTACCTGTTTCCATTTAGATATAGTTTCAGGATCCTGGTGTTTTGAATGGGTTTTCTAGCTCTGGACCAGAATGCACTAACACAAACAAACAATGTTGGTGATGAGACTTTAATGTTGACCAAAAACACAGAGCAGGCACAGACAAGCACAGTGGTTAGTTAACTAGCAGGCAAACAGGAACACAGGAAGTATAACAGCAGGTTATTAAACTGGCCAGCTAGGGCACTGACAAGGTCAGAAGTAGGTAAACTAGAACACTGATAAGTTCCATATAGTGGCAGGCAAGGTAAGTCTGTTACAGAGTGTACAAACTTTCTGAATGGAGGACACTGGTAAGTACTACTTTATCAGCAGGGACAGAATATTGGTCAAAAAGGGGACACAGGCAACAAAGGGAACTTGGGTAAGTGTTCATTCACAGATAAACAGTTCAATAAGAGGAAAACAAAGCAAACTGCACAGGAGCAGACAACTGACCAGAATCAGAGGACAAGCTGGACCATACACATGTAGACAATCAGTGAACTAGGGGAAGATAGCACAAGACAATAAAGCGTGAATCCATGCAGTCCAAACCAGGCAGGCAACGTGAGAGTCCAGTAAAGAAACAGATCGATGACAAGCAGGTAAATCTGAAAAAAAGAAAAAAGCCGGAAAGTCACAAACGACGCTTCTTTGTGGATAATCTGCTAGTGAGTGAATGCTATCTTAAATACAAAGAGGTTGAGCAGGAGGGAGAAGGCAGCAAGAGTGGGAAAAATGGTGGACAGGTGGCTGGCTCTAAAATAACAGAGAAAACATGGGGTGGAGATAAAGCACACACTGCGAATGTGACATACCAGTATTGTGCATGCTGGCTCACTGTCACATCTTACAGGGACACTTGATGGAACAGTGCTATTGTTAATGAAATTTGTTTAATCAGTGCATTTCTTCAGGCATTTTCCTCAGGTGGAAATGAAAAATAAATTTTACAGCACTTGAAACTAAACACTTAGACTAGGTTTCACTCATCAAAGGCGCATTTATATTTACTTTTCTGAGTACATATAAAATCATCAAAAATAGTTGTATGTCAAGCATGTGATGCTTCTTTAATTTGTAATGAATCTCACCTGTAGCAACCAACAGGTGCTGGCAACATAGAAATCACGCTGGAAACCAGTTAAAATGGAGAAATGTTGACTCAACCTTTGTGTCATGTGGACAGATGAGCCTAAAACAGACCTTTTTGGTCGAGCACATTATTCTGCTGTTTTCAGAAAAAGAAATGAGGCCTTCAAAGAAAAGAACACGGTCCCTACAGTCAAACACGATGGCGGGTCACTGATGTTTTGGGGCTGCTTTGCTGCTTCAGGCACTGGATGTCTTGACTGTGTGAGTGGCATTATGAAATCTGAAGACGACCAACGAATTCTGGGACACAATGTAGGGCCCAGTGTCAGAAAGCTGGGTCTCCATCAATGGTCATGGGTCCCACAGCAGGACAATGACCCAAAGCAGATTTCAAAAATCACCAGAAATTGTTTCAGACAATATGCCGGAGAATTCTGAAGTGGCCAACAATGAGTCCATAACTAAACCTCATAGAGCCCCTGTGGAGAAATCTCAAAACAGCAGCTGGGAGAAGAAACTCTTCAAATTTGAGACCTGGAGCAGCTGGCAAAAGAAGACTTGGTCCAACATTCCAGTAGAGACATGAAAAAAACTCAGTGATGGCTACAGGAAGTGACCGAGTTCACTTATTTTGTCCAAAGGGTGTGCTACCAAAGCTGAGGCTGTAAATAATTTTGTCCAGTTCATTTTTGGAGTTCTGTGTGGAAAGTATCAGATTGACCTTTTTTTCTGCTTTTTAAAAAAAATTTTTGTTCCATTGCAAACAAAAGAAATACACACGAGAATACCAAAGAATTTCTGCCTGCAACATTTTTCTAGGAGAAGCGATGTATTATCTGACAGAAATGCAGGGGTCCCAATATTTTTGCCCATGACTGTTTCAGAATTTTTTGTTCTGGTTTTGAAACTGTTGAAATGCACTGAGACAGTCTATTCAGGGGGTGAAAAATTGTACTTTCTATAACTGTCCCTGCTCACTGCAGAGGATTTTTCATTTTTATGTGCAATGCTGGATCAATCTTGATCAGACAGACCACGCACACAAACACAGATGCTGTAGCAACACCAGATGGGCAGATCAGCCCTGTTGTTAAGGCCATTTTAACAATAGTCTCAGCGACAGCCGCCTTTGTGGCCTTAGAGGGAGCGAAATCCTTTTGTAGCAGAGTAAGGTCTGCTTCTAATAGTATGGGAAAAGTTATAATAGTGTGCTGAGGATTAAGGCTACTTTGGCACATAATGGCCTATTGATTTGTTGCAGCACTGTGGCTTAAATCATATATCCAAAAGAAAAGTTTTGAAGAAACATCTGCTTTACACACCCGTGGCACCAGTTTGTCCAAGAAACAGCAGTCTACAGGTTATAAAAAACTCTCACATACACAACAGCATGAAAAAAAAGCTAGAATTAAAAAAAAACTCTTATTTATCAAATCAAAAACTGTAAAGACATGTTCAGAGTTTCAAAGATGTGAAAAAACACAGCTCTCCCTATTCATTTCTATGAAGCCAGCAACAGCACCGCAGGGGGGCTCTGGCAAAATGATGCAACACTGTGTGGCAAAAAAGTTGGATATGGATCAACTTTCACCACACCGGACAGTGACATCATCCAGCAAAGGTGCTGTATTGACCAATCATGTATGGGGGGAATTGATCTTTTTGTGTGGTGCAGCCACAGTGTGGTAAAGTGTAGTCACTTTCAACAAATGACGTCGCTAAAAGTAAAATTAGCACATCTAGAAGACCACAATCACTTGAACAGTACTGCTCAGCAGAGCCTCTGGTAGGGAAATGGACTGTATTTTATATAGCGCTTTCTCACAGTGTGTTGCACTGGCCAAAGCGCTTTACAGAGATGATACACCATTCACCCATTCACACACAACATTCACACACTGATGACGACAAGCTGCCATGCACCGGCGCTAGTCAAGCCACCAGGAGCAATTCGGGGTTCAGTGTCTTGCTCAGGGACACTTAGGCATGTGGGGAGACCGGGAGTCGAACCACCAACTTGCTGGTTAGAAGACGACTGCCCTACCTCATGAGCCACAGCCACCCCAAACAGAAGAGAGGTAATTACATTAGGCATTAGAATGTTATGCCGTATGTGCATTAAAGGCCTAACTGCCTCTGAGATCAGATCCTTGTGGACTCTAGAGTGTATGATCTGGCACTCTCGGCGTGTAGTGAGTACATTAGGAGGGAGTGTTGTAAACTAAGAATCTCATTAAAAGAGCTGGGCTACTCTCAGTGCATTCGACTCACGTTTACTACAACCTTGAGCTTTTAGTGTGGCTCATGTCTGGCTCACTAACATGGAGGCAGGACTTATGACCTATACTAAGCAGCCACCAGGGGGGGATCGAGTCTCGGTGGCTTCACTTCTGGTCATTGTCAGACTGTCCATCATTTTTATGGTGAATGGTCCCTTCCAAAAACAGTGTGTAGTTGGGGCTCCTTTTCACATATTAGATGTCCATCAGTTGTTCTATCAAATAGACATGTTTCCTCTAAAGTTCTCGTATTAAATTTTTTATTTTATTGTTCTTTTGAGGCCTAGAGAGGCAAAGTTATCCAATATTTTCAAAATCAACAAAAATGAGAGAAACTGCCAAAATGAGTAAATGACAGGGTTTCAGAAGTCCTCTGCAGAGATGTGAAACCCTGCTGGAAGGATGACCATCACGGCAGCACTGCAGTACATTATTGACTAGCTGTCTCACTGACAAGCTTACTTCTTTCCTAATTTAGCAACAGAAAACTGCAAGCATGTGATTTATAGCAGCTGTCAATGCTATACTGAGGAGGCTGTTGTCTAAGTGCTTGGACAAAATCGGCCAACCAATGTATCTGTTTGCTTTTCTGTGAACAGGAAGAATGATCACAGCTACAAGAAAACCTGTTTCAGTGTTCACATGGACACCTGACTGTTGTTTAAAGACAGACTTTAAAAACAGCCTATTTTTTTAATGGTGCATGCTTGTTCCAGAAGAACTTAGAGCTACAGTCTCTTTCACACACCCAGACGCTGTGAACACACTGAAAATGAGCTTCACACACACACACACACACACACACACACACACACACACACACACACACACACCCCACAGGATTTTAACACCTCCTACTTGAGTGTGTGCAGCAGGCAGAGCTGTTACCTAGTTACAAGCATGAGACTGAGCGACCTGCGCTACTGTTATAACGACGCGCTGGTGACTTTCAGTGTATCAGTCGGTCCGGGAACAGACCGACAAATACGCACGGAGGAGCGGAGCGCGCTGGTTCAAGACTGAGGATGAAAGTAAAACACATCATGACATGAGAAGACGAAATGCTGCTGCTCTTCTCGCGTTGTTTCATCAATAAATCTTAAGTCACAGGACGAGATCACACCTGAGAAGATCCTTTGAAAAGTCTCAGCATATGGGTGAGTTGAAAGAGCACCGGTTTTTCATGGGATTTAGTCATGGAGCAGTTAATCCGCTGCTTTTGCCTAACACGACCAAGTGGCTGGTGCAGACTAATGATGCTGTCACTGTCGAGCTTCTCTCACCTCACCTGTGAGCTGCATGTGCATCTGCTCTGACAACTTTTTATGGGTGTGTGTATGTGAGAATATAAGTGTTAAGGCTCAAATTAAACTAAATGCTATTGATAGTAACATTAGTTCTTTGGTTTGTTTAATGTATGCCAAAAACTTTAAATATTATAATAATGTAACTAGTCTAAAATAACGGAATTATTAAAAGACAGTAGGACCTGGGCTCAGGTAAATGCACATACTGAAAACAGGGGTTGCGTTGCGTCTCTTTTCAGTCATTTTGGGTCTCTGTGTGGTCATTTCACATCTCGTTTTGCCCATTTTGTGTCTCTTTGCACCTCTTTGTGGGTAATTCATGCCTCTGTGGTTGTTTTGCATCTCTCTCTGGGCTCGTTTAGTGTCTCATTCAGAACCTGGCACCCAAACATTTATTTGTATTCATTTATTAGCAAGTTAAACTGATCCATTGATTGTTAGTATGTTGACCAATAATGAAGCAATTAGTTACAACTTAAAAACCCTTTATTAAGCATTATAAAAAAAAAAAAAAGTCAATGCAATCCCAAGGTCATTAGACTGTTTCTCCCCATAAAACACACATCTAAACAAGCATTGCGAGAGATGGCTAATGCACATTTCCTTACAAGTAACAGTCACCTTATTGTAAAAATAATCTGTGTGTGTGTGTGTGTGTGTGTGTGTGTGTGTGTTAAAGTGAGAAACAGGGAGCATTCTACATATATAGTGGATTTCACATGAACATGTGGTTTTAGTTTTTCCCCATTTATTGGTATATTTGGCCAAAACCAGTGGGTCGACATGAACAACATAATACTTCTAGGCTAAATGAACAGTTTTATAATGATGTGTGAGGAGTGACACCTTTACAGTGCACATATATTGAATCCATTTTTCCAGTACCTTATTGTTCATATTGTAGTCTTAAGGCAAAGGTCACATGACCTTCAGTGGAGAGATTGGCTTCTTTGTTGCTAGCAGACAAATGTGTTTTAAAGAGAAATTTAATAGGTGCTACATGCTTCTCCTTTTTTCCCAGTGTAATGTAGCAGCAGAGACACTTTAGCCAGTCTTACTGAAGGGCACTTGAACTGGGCCACTGTGAAAGTGTCACCTCCATTTCTTATCCACTTTCCCACATACTTGAATGTACAGTATAGCTTAATAATTACTTCCGTCATCAATTAACCAAGCAGTTTTCTTGATTCATCGATTAATTATTTGGTCCATAAAACAAACAGTGTAAAACAATGAAAAATAACCATGAACTTAACTAACTGTTGCAACTTAAATATGTTTTTCCAGTCCACTGGTGATCTGATTTTTTAAAACTTGTCAGTTGTTGTAAGATAAAGTAATCCTGGATGCACATAACAAAAACAAACTCATCTGTTTGTGTTAACTGGGTTTAGATCGAACCATGTTAAAATCTGATGAATTTACATCGCTCAGCCAAAACATTAAAACCACCTGCCTAATACTGTGTAGGTGCCTTCCGTGTTGCACAAACAGCTCTGACCTGTTGAGGTATGGACTCCATAAGACCTCTGAAGGTGTCCTCTGGTATCTAACAGACACTAGCAGCTGATCCTTTAAGTCCTGTATGCTGCAAGGTGGGACCCCCATGGATCAGACTTGTTTTTCCAGCGCATCCCACAGATGGTTGGTTGGATTGAAATGTGGGGAATGTGAATGCCAAGGCAACACCGTGAACTTTTTGTTGTGTTCCTCAAATCATACCACATGGTCACTCTGACCAGTCTGTGGCTACATGGCCCCATACTCAGCAACCTACAATGCAAGATGTCTGACTCCTGTTTATTGTAGCCAGCATTAGGTTTTTCAGCGATATTTGCTTACAGCAGCTCTGGGATCATACCTGACGGGGTAGTCTTCACTCCCCATGCACATCAATGAGCCTTGGGTGCCAGTGACTCTGTCACTGGTTCACCAATTGTCCTTCCAGTTTTGATAGGTACTGACCACTGCACACCGTCAAAGTCACTCAGATCCTAACGTTTGCCAATTTTTGCCCCTTCCAATACATCAACTTCGAGAACAGAGGGTTCACTTGCTGCTTAAAAGCAAGCAAACAGGCTTTTAACAACATAATCAATGTTATTCACATCACCTGTCATTGGTTTTAATGATGTGGCTAATCGGTGTATTTAATTTTTCATTGTATACTGTATAGGAAACCTCTAAGAAGACAGGGCTTAACTGAAAGATCAGTCTTGTTGTGTTAAAATATTTCAGCCACAGTTTGGGCTAACAGACTTAAATTTTCTCCAACTAGAGGTGGATAACATGGCCCAAATCAGTATTAATTAATTAATTAATTAGTGCTGTATTACTTTTGTTTTAAAGAATGCTCTAACTAGATCCCTTACAATTGTTTTGTTATCATTCATTTACATCCTTGCACTGTATCATGAATTTTTACAGGGATTTTAGCTTGTGGAAGAAAACACTTTCTTTTTCCTGGATAAATGTTCCCCATTGTGTTTTTGAGAGTGTGAGTGTGATTACCAGCTGACATGATTTGTTCTGTTCATTTCAGAGGAGCAAAATAACATCATGTCCCCTGCACGTGAAATGCTGTGTCTCCATGACGTATCTTATTTTACTTTTTACATTAGACATCTAGAATTAGGGTTTTTTTATTTAGAACACAAAAGCAAAAGACTGAAATACTGCTCAATGTGTGATCATTGATTTTGAAATTATAATATATTCAAGCACTAATAGCAGAGTTAAGCCATCATCTTTCATCCACAAAATCAATTAGACACAAATTTAAACCCTTAATCGTGCACATGCACACAGTCGCCACAGGTGGGAATTAACACAATCACACAGCATCATTTCAGGCTAAGCAAAGATTAAAAAAAATTCAAAGAAGCAGATGAGTCTCACAACCTGGTGCTTCAGTGAAGAGAAAATGAAGTGTTTAGGACAGACAGTATTAACATAAAGAGGTTCAAGTCAAGCCTATTGTTATTTGTGTAGCCCAGTACCACAAATCACACATTTGCCTCAAGGGGCTTTGCAGCCTGTATAGCATATGACACCCTCTATCCACCCAAATAAAACTCTTAACCTTAAATCATCATATTAATATTCAGTGATTTACAAGAATGTAAACACGTTTCTGTCCCCACAGTGTGAGTTCTACCAGGTACACACACAGCACCTGTCTCCATGTACCTGATCAGCTCCCTCAGGACATATTACAGCTCTGCTTTCTTTGTTTCTTTGCTTACCTGTAGCATCTGCTCCCTGTGGCTCCAGTCCGCTTGCCCCCCCTATTTCTTGTGGTCTAAGTGTTTCCAGTTATCCTTAGTGTTCTTAATTATCCTTGTGATTTTCTCCTGTACCTTTTGTTTGGACTTGTTTGGAGATTAGATTCTGCCTCTTGCCTTCTCCAATGGACTCTGTGCTTGGCTCAGACTGGTTACCTGGTTTTGATACCTGTTTTGGATTTCCTCATTCTCTCAGCTTTTTTAACATCTACATTTCCCATAAAAAAAAAAAAAAATCAAAATTACAGACTTGTCTAATTGTCTCATTCAAAGTGTTCCAGTGTATTAAACTGATTTCATTTTCTGTCAAAGTAAAAGATGACACATAAGTGATAAATCTGTAACATCTCTTTTGACAAAGACAAACATGCATTGCATCTTTCTTCGTTCACGTCTAACACTGTGCTGCAGTTTTTGCAATAATGTGATGACATTCAATTCAGACTTGTGCAAAAATGAGATTGTTATATTCAAATTGCGGTTGTGACCTTCATGTAAAAGTAACTCAGGCGCTTATTCAGGCGTGAGATTGACTTGTCATCACATTTATATAAAGTGGTGCATGTCTGAAAGGGACTTTTGCTATCCGGCTATAAAATGTGCAGTATCTGGAAAAAGTAGTTTTCCAACTCACTCTGCTCTTTTCTTCTTCTTGAGATTGGTGTCTGTATAGAGGACCTGGACAAAACAGAAGAAGCTCAGACAAGTTTAAAACAAAAGCCAGAATTAGTTTGAATTAACTGAGCTTACTAAGTCGCTCTGACTTACTGAGCCCGTGAGGAGAAGTCATCAGTCTTTTTAAAACTTAGAAAGGAAGTGGCAATACAACACCTTCAGGACCAAAGACTTCCT